AACAAAGACCGAAAGGTCCACTGATTAATCTCAGATAAGAAAGTATAATACATACTCCAAGTATTGAAATACACGCCATCGTGTTGGGATTCAATATTTCGACATTAATTATGTCATCATCAGGAATGAAAAATTATTCATATTAGCAAGCTTATAATTATGCACTAGTACCAAAAGTGTTTAACCAATCAAAACATTACCTCTAGTAGGTGACATAGCAGTGATTTAAACAAAAGATCAAAGCATTCTTACTCTAATGATCAAAGATACCTACAAAAACAAAGAAAGCGCTTTTGAAGCTCTGAGCCCATTGTTAAGCAAAGGGTGTAGTCTAAGTATAGGGGATAGACCAGTTTCGGGAGCTGTCAATAATGCTAGTACTAGAAAATATTAAACCTAATTTATTACTTACATTACAGACGACATTATCATTTTCAAGTATACCCTGTAATCCTAAAACAAATTGGAATGCCTCACAGTTTTCAGTTTCTCATTTTATATCTACTAAGGATCAAACCCCTAAGGAGTACAGAAGTTCTGTTGTCTATCATTTTAAATGTCCAGGCTGCAATAGTGATTATATTGGTAAGACAGATAGGTGCTTAATAACTAGACTTAAAGAACATTCTTCACGATCTGCTAGTGTTATATTTGATCATGTTAAAAACTGTGAGGCATTCCAATTTTTTTTAGGATTACAGGGTTTACTTGAAAATGATAATGATATGTCAAGTATCATATTATTTATCGAGAAAGTATCTCGATAAAGTACAGTAGAACCCCTTTTAAGGGGACAACTTATTGAGCGGTCCAGAAGGTGTCCCCTATTAAGGGGACAACTTCTGGACCGCTCAATAAGTGTACCCCCAGAGGACAAAACCAAAGCGTAAAATTGTACCTTTATTACAATGATGATTTTATTCACCCAATAATGAGCTACAGTAGAATTATAACTAATTTATATCAATAATTTGCAATGCAAAATCAGCAGTAATGTAATTAAAACTACAATAGCTGCAATAGTTATATTATTTTCCCATATTTTGAAATGCGACTTTAATGACCAACTATTCCATTTTTTTAATATTAAACCTTCTATTGGATAAATGCAGTATGAATAAAGAGTAACGACTCAAAAATAATGGTGCAAGTTATTGTTATGATATAAATTAGAATCTTATGTGAAAGTACACAAACAAAAAAAACCACCATGGTTAGGGGTAAAATTTGACAAAATTGATTGGAAGTAGGCCTAAACCGATGTTTACACTAAGGAATCAGGGGAAGCCAATGTGGTTTGATGTGAAGTTTTTTGCTCAAGAGGTGTCAAAATATATGTTTTTTTTAAATTTTTTTTTATTTGAGAATGATGAAGTTTTTCGATACTGTACAATGGATGCAAAAATTAAGTGTCCCCTTACTAGAGGTTGAATACTGTCCCCTGATTTGACCATTTGGCACACCCAGAGAGTGTTCCCGTCCCATTAATAGGGATGCCCCCCTTAATAGAGGTGGGCCGTAGTGATAAATAAATAATTCCCCTCATTTCACAAAAAAGTGTCCCCTAATAGGGGTGTCTCAAAGTAGGGTTCTACTGTAGGGTTTTATTGGTCGTATAATTTGTAATTTTGACGACAATTCTATGATAACTGGAGGTCTTGGGTCGTAGGAAGCTATGCCCAAACATTCGGGGTCCTAAGGAGTAAATGGTTGCCGACCGTAGCTCTACATATATAAGTCTCGTTATAAGACTAGGAAGTGGTGGTTTTGGCAGAGATTCCAAGTTGGAGGAATTCGCAGGCGTGAGGCTTCCGTCCTGAACTCCTCCCCCAGGGGGTCTCAAGCATTGCGCCCTCCCGAGAATTTTGTTTTCGACTCTTTAGAGTCGAAAACAACACTTTAGAGTAGTATTTTTTTACAACTATATAACGAAGAATCTGCAATTTTCTTTTGAGAATACATATAGGGCCTGTTCCGGGCCATTCGGATTCGCAGCTGTTAGCGTACGTGTTTTTAGTTCTTAGCATGTTCGATAATATAAATTAGCAGGAAAAGTTTTCAAACTTCCACCGACGATCATCAAATTTGACTAAAAAATAGGCCTACATTAGATACCATAACATACGCCTAACCTGTAAACTACTCTCAACTAGTATTAGCCCTACAAATTATTTTAATATAGGCAATATTACATTTATGCGTGAGAGTTTAGTCTTTAAGCTTGAAAGCGTGAGAGATCCGAAATGCGTGAGTCGTTCATGCCGAATGCGTGAGACTTGGTAAGTCTGTTTTGGTCTTGAGAAGAAATCATCTTACCGTGACGTGAATTGAACACAGGACACTGAGATTGAACGGCAAGCATCTTAAGCACCAAGTTATTCAACTCGTTTGTATTTAAATTTTACCTGTTTTGATCTAATTAGGCCCTACCTCAATACCTCTTTTGGCGTCATGTGATGCTCTGAAGAAAGCCGGTTTTGGTGTTAGCGGTACTTACAGAATCGATCCCGATGGTGCCGGTAATGGATCAGAGCCGTTCTCGGTAGTTTGTGATATGACATCAGATTTGACTGTGGGTACGTTATTTTAAGTTTGATTGTGTTCATTACCTTTTTCTGACATTAAAACAATCAGACTATACCTTCGATCCCTTCTTGAAAGTTTCAGTACAATATATTTTCGAGTGTAATTCTTAATCTCCAAGATTTATACACTTAAAAGTGTAAATAAATACGGTATCTAGACAAATTACTAATATTTTGACTATCTTTTGTCTAGGCCTTATATATATAATTTTAATTTATGTGTGTTGTATGTGAATGCTTATTATTATTTTGTTTTGAAGAACAATTTTTGATTATATTTATTTCCCGTCTGTATAATATTTCATATTTTTTATTTACAACAAAGGTTATACAACGATTCACCACGACAAAGAAGACGGCGATGTGAAGGGTTTCGAGGATAGAGGGTCATTCATAGTGAATGTTACTTACGATCTTGGGCGGGGCCAGGTGGAGGCGATCAAGGCAGTTTCATCTTCTTGCAGACAATTTATTAAAGTAAATGTTTAGACCTCCCTGGGGCCTGACCCTGATGTTTCCTTGTAATACTACAAGCAGATGATCGGTATCCCTCCTATATTTCTGTATATTCTTATTATTATAAATAGTCCTATTATGTGTGTATACATACATAAAACAATTTAGTAGTTGAATACATTTTCTTTTTCCATGAATCGATAAGCCCCAAAAAGAAAGGGAGTCCTCCCCAGGGAAAAGTTTGTTTTCTAGATTGCGGGAAATGAACTTTCTCGACTTCTGAGGTGTTTTTTAAGTTCTTCAAACTTCTAGGTTCCCCACCTTTTGAAGACGTTCAGGTAATTAAACTTTCTCATCCTTATTGCAGTAAATAGGCCTATGTGTGTATACGTACATAAAAAATTGAGTAATTGCATACGTATTCTTTTTTCCATGAATTAATGAACCACCCCCCCCCCCAAAAAAAAGGGGGTTTCTGGGTTTTCCTGGGGAAAATTCTGATTCCTAGATGAAAGGAAACGAGCTTTCCCAACTTCTGAAGTGTATTTAAATAAATTTTAAATTCTTAAAAATCGGTTTTCCCCTCTTAAAAACGGCCAGGTAAATTTTTCTTATTCTTATTACAGTAAATATAGGCCTATTATGTGTGTACCAGTATAGGCCTACGTACAGAAAAAAGTAGTTGCATAGGCCTACGTATTCTTTTTTCCATGAACTGATGAACCCCAAAAAGAAAGGCGGTGGGGGATCCTCCCAAGGAAAAACTTTGATTCCTAGATGGTGGGAAATGAGCTTTCCCGACATTTAATTTTCCATTTGTAACAGAAAAAAAAATCAGCACACGAGTCCTGAAAATGTTGATCTAGAATTTATATAAAAAAAGAAAAAGTTATCTGCCCAAGCGGACGGGAGGGGGGGGGGGGTGTCAGGACTCTCTGATTCCCCCTCATATCCGCCAATGGGAATCCGGTCTTTCATTGAAGGGGTCTGAAATTAGAAACTCGTACCAACAAGAGACAAGTATGAAATTGTATACCACACCCATACTTAGGACTTCATACTTCACGCACTTAATAAGCACATTTTACACTTAACTCATTAATAGGCCTACTATTATACAAACTTTTTGTTTATAAATGTAATTTGAGTTTAGTTGAATAAATGAAAAATAAAACTGGGCAGTTAGTATGAATGATTTCATAGAGTTGATTGTGTATTTTGTATTTTTACAGTATGCATGTATCGGATCACTGTTTGATGGCGGATACCAATACTGGATCTCATATGATGGCCAACCCATGGTCAACTGGGGAGGTGTCCCAACAGGAACTACGGGATGCGCATGCGGGGTGACAGGTAAGTAATATCTCTTGTTCTATTTATACTCTTTGGTAATATATCATGTATATATATA